GGGACACGGGCGAGAAGGGACGCGTGGGGTATGGATGGTCGATCGGTCCCTCTGAGCGGGGCGTTCCGCTCGGGCTCATGGCGCGTCTTGCGACGCGCGACGACCTCGATTCGGCTATCTCTGAGATGGAGTCACCCCTTCTGCGTCCCGACATGCCGCGCTGCCACGCCAAGGACCTCAGGGTTCCCCAGACATTCAAGGAGGCGAAGGAGAGCGTGCACAGCACCCAGTTCATGGACGCAACGAAGAGAGAGGTGTTTGGGTTGCTAGAAGCAGATGCATTCAAGGTTGTTGGACCCTAGCAACCAATCGGTAATTGTATCAAGTCGAAGTTTGTGTTTGATTGGAAGGTAGATGCGTTTGGCTTTCCTGCGAAGGCCAAAACCAGACTTGTTGCAAGAGGAGATATGCAGAAGGAGTACATTGACTTTGGTGATTTGTATGCTCCCACAGTAGCTTCGTCTAGTGTTCGTATGTTGGCAGCTTTGGCGTGTGAGCTTGACTTGGAGTTGTGCCATTTCGATATCGATCAGGCGTTTGTGAGGGCCCCTCTCAAGGAAGACATTTTCATGCGATTGCCGGAAGGATGTGGTGCGTTGTCGGGGAAGATTGTGCAGTTGAACAAGAGCCTTTACGGTTTGAGGCAGGCATCTAGGGAGTGGTACGCGTTGCTGAAGAAGTGTCTTTTGGCTTTGGGTTTCGAGCAGTGCATGGCCGATTCATGTGTTTTTCCCTTAGTCGAAAGGGGGGAAGTAGTGTTGATTCTAGTAGTACACGTAGATGATATTTTTGCAGTGGGGACGAAGGAGAGGTGTGATCAATTTGGGAAGGACCTGGGCGAGTACGTACCGGTGAAGTCTCTGGGGGAGTTGCAGTGGTACTCTGGTTGCTATTACGAGAGGGACAGAGAGGCAGGTAGATTGACGATTTCGCAGGAGACATACACTAAGGAGTTGGGAGAGAGATATGGTGTGGAGTGGGGCGGAAGCATTCCTTTGCCCACGACTTGGAGACTTTGGGACTTTGATGTGAATGAGCCGAGCGTAGAGCACCCATTTCGCGCGCTGATTGGTTCGTTGCTATGGATAGCTTTGTTGACTAGGCCGGATATCGCGAATGCGGTGAGGGCAGTAGCGAGGTACTGTAGTGCACCCAAGTTGATCCACTGGAAGGCTGCACTTGGCATCTTAGGATATGCAGTTAGGACTAGTTCTTTCGGGATTTCTTTTCAGAAGGGGACAATTTCAGGGTTTTCTTTGATCACGTTCGTCGACGCGGATTACGCCTCGCGTGCGGCGGATCGTAGGTCGGTTTCAGGGGGAGTAGTAATGTGTGCGGGGGGAGCGATAGCATGGTTTTCCAAGACTCAGAAGTGTGTGACTTTGTCCACCACGCAGGCAGAGTACGTGGCGATGGCGGACATGGGGAAGGAGATTCTTTTTTTGAGGCAGGTTTGGCGCTTTATGTTGCCGAAGGAGTTGCGGCCGTGCATTCCACTGTACGAGGATAACGAGGGTGCTATCCAGATCGCAAAACACCCGATCTCGAATTCCAACTCGAAGCACATCGACGTGCGGCATCACTTCCTCAGACAACTGGTAGATGAGAAGGAGGTAGAGATCATTCATGTAGCGTCGCAGCACCAGCATGCTGACTTCCTCACGAAGGCGCTACCTGAGAGGGATTTTGTGTTCCACAGGGACTACGTGATGAACTTAAATTGAGCAATCCCGGAGTTTTTTGTGTTGTGTTTTTGTTTGTGTGATTCTTTCGATTTGAGTATATGAGGAGTTGATTTTCTACGATTTTGAATTCAAGAATGGCCGATGGACATTATATTTGGTATTTCTGTTTTAATGGTTGGTTGGGAATACTTTCTATCCGATTGAAATTCTAAATGAGCAGTCCTGGAGTCTTTATTTTTGTTTTGTTTTTTTGCGTTTGTGCGATTCTATTGAATTGCTATTTCTGAGGATTTTCTACGATGTTGAATTCCAGGGTGACCGATGGATAATCTCTGCAGTGTTTCTGGTTTAATGGTTAGGACAAGAGTTTCAAACCGGTTGGAGTTCTAACGAGTTTTGTTTCGGGTTTAATGGTCATGGTGTTTTGGCGAAGACGAAGCATGAGATGAATGGAATGTTAATCACTAAGCCTTGCGTTCAGGTATTTGGTATAAGAGGGTATGCATGTGTAAGGTAGTTAAATGAGTCCGGGTGTAATCTTGCCAATGCAGCGAGTAGGGGGGCTGTTGGATGTACTCACAGCATCAACAGATTATTGCGAGCAAGAATTTCCCGAGCAGATGGAGCGGGGAGTTTGGGGGTTCAATGGTTGCTATGGATTAGATTTGGTGGTACCAACTTTATCACATATTGCAGGTTTGAGGGTATGGGTGTCTACAACGGAATTTGTGTGCGTGGCTTGTGGTTCCTCACTTCCTTTTTCTGTGTATAATCAAGTCCTTTTTCCGGCTCTCACGCCAACCCCGGCTTCCACGCCCATACTCCGGCTATCACGCCAACCCGGCTTCCACGCCTTCAGGACTCCCACGTCCCTACATATACCTTTACATCAGGGCTACCACGCCACCCGGCTTCCACGCCACAACTATATTATACACGAGCTTCCACGCTCTACCACGTAGAAGGGCTTTCACGCCCGCGGATAGTTTCTGCATTTTGACCGTTGGCAGTACCCAGCTGCTGGCACCTTTTGTTTCCCACTACGGGAACCCGCGCCGAGGCACCCACGCACAAAGCTACTCAACAAGGTACGTCTGTGGGGGAGCATGAAGTTCTCAAATGTAGCTCTTTCTTTGTGGTGGATGTGGGTCTATCTTGTCTGAAAAGTACAGGTAGCCTATTCTATACGACCACCAGCATCGAATTCGGCAGCTTTGAGCAGGTATGCAGCAACACGCACGGCCTTTGGCGACTAGCCATTAGACTGTAGACCTTTTTTACACGTCGGTACAAAAGATTCAGTACATAGCTTGAGAGACCAAATTTCAAAATCCCTCCGCAGCGATGGACCCCAGAACTCCGCCTAATCGTGCATATTTTCAGACCCGTCTTTGTTGCACAGCAGCCCCTCCACTGCAGTTGAGCTACTGATACAAGTCTACGAGTAAAGCAGCAAACGCCAACATTCGACGGCCTCATGTGCGGGATGGGAGCGTCCCAGTCAGTCATTCCAAATCCTATTCCTTGCATCCTCAGGGTTATTTCTATTGACTTGCGGACCCCTCGGGGCCAGTTTATTTGAGTGTGCCTTTTGAGGGTAAGTTAACCTGTAACCACGGGAATCGACCGCGTCGAGTGTTGGATCAGTACGGAGATACGAAGGTACTGGGTAGAGAGAGATCGGAACGATTTTTAATGTTAAGACAACAACAACAACAACAACATCCTCACCTGTCTCATCCGCGTTGTGCAAGTGATCGGGCGCCGGCGCGTACTCTTCCACCGCGGCTGCCCACATCTTACAGAACGCTTCGATGCGGGGCTCGATGTCCTCTTCGGTGGCCTCGTATACCCCGTTCCGTCGCTCCGACACTCGCGGGTGCCTGCGGAGGAAGCCGCTCACCCACGCCCACCCGGGCCCCTTCTCTCCCCAAGGCACGGCGCGACCGTCGTCGCACAGCCGTCTCACCGCATCTTTCAGCTGAGCCCGACCCAGAGACAGGTCGTTGCGAGCAGCGAACAGCAGAACATCTTCCATCGCGTTCTCCTCGGCTTCGCTCAGGACGGTCCGGGGACCGACTGTCCCTGGACACCTTGCCCGCCAGGCGGGTCGCGACCGATGCCCGGCCTACCCCGAAGGAAGTGGCCGCCTTCCGAACGGACATGCCGCCCCTGACGGCTTCGCAGGCCTTCTGAGCCTGCGTTTCGTCCACCCTACGCCGGCGGTCCATGCTAACTGTAGCAGCAAGACTTCGGAGCTTGTCCGCACGGACGAGCGTGCTGGCTGCTGTCCCGTTGCTGCTGTAACTCGTGGTTGGTTGGTCGGATCGCCGAGAGCTGAGTGCTCAAACAACGGATCGTGCGTCTCCACAGCAGTTTATGAGTCCGCGTTTTCAAAAAAGGGGGCTCCGTGGAATGGTTGAGTTGGTACACCCGCCCGCCAAAAAATGCTACGTCTACTTTCACTCGTTTACTCATTGCTTGACAGTGGTCATCCAAAAGAGACCGACGTTCACTAGACAATTGCCGTGTGAACTTTATCGTGAAGCTCTACGCACAAGTGGATTATTTTCTTTTGCGACGGTGGTATTGAACGCGGACGGATCTTTCGAAACGTGAGCCTTAAAAATGGACTAACTCCGAACCTGCAGATGACGGTGATTGCTGGACAGAGGGTTTGAATGTAGTCAAAAGTTTGGAATGTAGACTCGAAGCCAACGGAAGGAAGGATGAATTCACACACGCAAGTGTGGCGGAAGGAAAACTATCGAAGGCTGTCAGCTTCGCACGAGACCGCTTCTACGAGGCTATCCAACAAACAAGCGCTATTCTCAAGCTATTCTCCGACAACAGACGGGTTGTTACGCCGCGACTCCAAACATCCACGAACTATCGTTCCGCCTTCTCTGCCTGCACGCCGATTTCGGGTACGCACCTCTAGGCACATGTCGAGCACTGCCTCAGGGTCGAACGGCAAAACAAAAAAAAAAAAACGGCATCGGCAAGCCCCAGTCAGCACCCACAGCAGAATCGGAGCAATCCCTTTCCGGGAAGATTGATGCGTTGAGTGCTCTTCTCGACGACCTTCAAAACACCCCCGTTTCTACACGGCTACGTGTCGAGTGCGGTGCCCGAAGAGGGCGTTTTTAGTCTCAGTCCGCACGACCGGGAGGACGCAAGACTGGGTGGGGTGTTTTTGCCGCTTCCGCGAAATTTCGATCGAAAACCATGCCTGGACCTCTCTCTCTCGAGGGCAACCCCAACGAAACAGCGAGAAAGACAACATTCGGCCTACACGTAGCTCTCTCTCTCTCTCTCTCTCTCTCTCTCTCTCTCTCTCTCTCTCTCTCTCTCATGTTGGAAAAATTGTCAATTTCATCGTCTGTTGTCTTTCTTATCTACAGTAACCGGTGCTTGTTGGGCCGCCCGGAACCACGACCACCACGGCGCCGCCGGGAAAGTAGGCGGCTACGACCTCCTTGAAGATGCTGGCCTTGTCCAGCCGCCTGTTGTTAACGAAAAGCCGATGCCGTCGCTTTATGATCTAGCTGGTGCTTGTTGGACCTCCCGGAATGACCACCACAGCGCCGTCGGAAAAGTATGCGGCCACGACCTTCTTGAGGATGCTGGCCTTGTCGAGCCGCCTGTTCTCGGTGGTCTTGGATACGGACGTCCACAGCTCCCCATGGGCAGGCTCGGCCGCAACACACCTGACGCGTTTCCGGGCGCCAAAACGTTCTTTAGTCGCATCTGACCATGCCATAAGATAGTTTTTTCGCGTCAAAGGTTTTTCGAGTAACATCTCACCAAGTCACACGATATAAATTGCGTCCCCGAAACGGAAAACTGTAAAATACCAAAACAACACAAAACACATGTTTCAACACAAACCAGTACAGTATGCGATCAGCACCAAATGACACAAACACTGCACACATAGCCCATCGCGTGTTTGTGGTATATATGCCATGAATCAATGGCCACGGGTAACGCAAAGCAATCGTCACGTATGCATACATACCTGTCAAGAACGTCCTTCTGCTCAACCTCGGTCCCCTGCTGTAGCTCGAACGCGTAGTACGCCGCCCACGCATCCCCCATGTTGGGGTCCAGGGTGATAGCGCGGTTGAACCACTTGCGGGCCTTGGCGTATTTGCGGTCCGCCCAGAAGCGCCTGGCCACGGCGGTGATGACGTGCGGGTCGTTGTCGCATCGCTTGAGCGCCTCCAGGGACTTGCCTGTTTGGGGTGTTGGTGTTTTGTCATTTTTTTGTGGAAGGCGGTAGGCAAGCCGGTGTTGGTGATGTTGTCATTTCTTGTCCAACGGGGTAGGCAAGGTGGTGGTGGTGCTGTTGTCGTTATTTTTCAGACGCTGTGGGCTAGCCGGTGTCGGTGTTGCTGTCATTTGGTGTCTAACGAAGTAGGCAAGATGGGCAGGGTGGGCTTCATTTTTTATTTTTTGTCTAAATTACGGAGTAAAACGATGGCATCAACGGTAGCAGGAACAACCCAGCCACTAAAATATGGTTGCCGTCTCGGCCTGCTGTGCCATCTTCCCAATACCATTCCCCTCCTACCAATGGTTGACAGAAACAACCACAGCTGACAGTAGCTCCACAGCAACACCTACCGTGCAACACGCTTACTGGCGTCACGCTACGGCTGCTACCCAGCGATCCCTACCAATACCAACACAACACGCCTACCGACGTGACGTCACGCCACAGCTACCATTGTTCCTGCTTCTCGCATCGCGGTCTCCCTCACTTTCAGTGCACAGCCTACGCAGGTTTGTACTCAGCAAGCACATTTATTGGATGCAGACTTGTAGCACAGGTGAAACTTCGCTACGTCACCCCCCCCTATATTTCCTCCGGCCTGCTGTGCCATCTTCCCAATACCATTCCCCTCCTACCAATGGTTGACAGAAACAACCACAGCTGACAGTAGCTCCACAGCAACACCTACCGTGCAACACGCTTACTGGCGTCACGCTACGGCTGCTACCCAGCGATGCCTACCAATACCAACACAACACGCCTACCGACGTGACGTCACGCCACAGCTACCATTGTTCCTGCTTCTCGCATCGCGGTCTCCCTCACTTTCAGTGCACAGCCTACGCAGGTTTCTACTCAGCAAGCACATATATTGGATGCAGGCTTGTAGCACAGGTGAAACTTCGCTACGTCACCCCCCCCTATATTTCCACCGAACAAACATATTGGATGAAGTCTAGCAAATGTGGAATTTTGTGCGTTCCGGTTAGGGTCTACGTAACCCCACTCTCTTTGACGGACATTCCATAGGAGATTGGTAATTTCTGCGCGTAGGTCATCGCTCACTTTTCTGCTCGGCTCGTTGTGCCACCAAGATCTCCTCCGCCCAAAGCACGCCGGACCCGGGACACTCCTGCAGCGCCTTGGCCATGAGGCTATCGGCGCCCTTGTTGTTCCCCGCTCGCCTCTCCAGCCGCACCGCCTCCAACCATAGACCCTCGCTCTTCGGGTTTCTCAACCTGAGTACGCACAAGAAATTATCGGGGTGTGTTGGTGGCCGTTGCGGTGATATGGGTATCTTTGCGTGTGGAATGAGAAAATATTTTGGGGTTGTTGTTGGTCGTTGCGGTGGTTGGAATTTCTGAACTTACATAAGGTACAGTACGAGAAAAAATATTGGGCGTATTGGGCGGCTACTGCGGCGATACATATAATCCTCTGATCCAAGCGTGTTTAGCGAAATGCAAGAGACAGCAGAGTCATCACTACATGTACGACTATCAGGGCGGCGACGCCACTTTTGGCAAAACAATTGTCTTGTGACGAACGATTTCTCCTCGTCCTTGTGTGGCAACAGCTGGAATGTCGCTCAGCTCACGTTGCCTTTCAGCCTCAGCCTGGAACGACAACAACGACAACAACGACAACAACGACAACAACGACAACAACAACACATCACCCTTACCTTGCCACCTCAAGCATGGGCCTCGCCTTGTTAACCCCCACTGTGCGCTCTTCCAGACGTGCCGCGAGCCGCCACAAGGGGATAGACCCAGGGCATGCACGGAGCCCCCTTTGGTAGTACTCTCGAGCGCGTTCCGGCAAGTTGAGTTCCTCCGAGCATAGCTGAATATTTAACGTCATGGGGGGGGGGGGGGGGGCAGCATCAAACATCGTGATTGAGAACACGCCATACTACGAAAACGACAAAGCGCACTGAAATCGCAAAGAAAAGGGGACTCACTTTTTTCGGTGAAAAAACACAGACTGTTAAACAGCTGTCGTGCAAGAGGTGTGTCACCTTACAGCAGTCAGCATGGGTATCATTGTTCCAAGTTACTCGCATTACCAACTCCACTAAAATAATTCCGTCCGTCATAAAGGGGGTCCTTCTCCGATGTCTCGGTCTTGAGCTTTCTCGCATAAAACACAGGCAGACACGGCACGATAGACACGACCATGGACACCTGATTGGCTGAAGGTATGCCCCGCTGTTTCGAGGTGATGAAACAAGAAGAAAAAAAGAAAGGACAAAAAAAACACGAAATGAACCAATCACCAACACCTATCCCTCTGCGCCACCACCAGCAGCGAGCGCAGCACGCCGAAAGCCGAAAAGCATGGCACCAGTGCCGCGTCGAGAAGGTGACGAAACGGGACAAGCCCTACATGCTAGCGGTCACTAACACCGCCTGATGCGGACAGAAAGCAGCGAAAGGCGTAAAAAAGGTCATGACCAGAGCGAAACACGCAACCCCCAACAAACACCGAAACCACAACGCTGACATATTGTTCTATAAAGTATAAGGGCGACATTCGGCTACGAACGTGAATGCCCGAATCGTCCCTGTATCAACGGACTGATACCAGCAGGGCTAGAACGTGAATATCCCAATGGTTCCTATAAGAATGGAGCGGCAGTCCAGCAGCGCTAGGACGTGAATACCCCAATGGTCCCTAGATCAACGGAGCGATTAGCAGCAGGGTCAAGGCAAAAAAAACGCACCTGTCCCGCCATCATGTAGAGCTTGGCGAAAGTGGGGTAGGACGGCAGCGCTGTGTCAATTAGCTTAAGCGCCGCCTCGGGCGCCTTGAGCTCTCTCTCTAGCAGGGCGGCTTTCATCCACACTAGCGCCGTGGGGGCGCGGTCGCACGCCTTCTTGAGCAGGATGCGGGCTCGCTCGAAGGCGTTGTTCTCCCACTCCAGCTTCACCGCAGCCAGCCACACCTTTTTCAGTAGGGGTTCGAATTTGCAACCAGCATGAAAAAAACACGCAACAGTAGTACATCACCAGCCACACTTACGTAGGCTTGTTCTCGCGGCACTTTCAAGGTGCATGCACCGCAGGAGGGGGTCTCAGGGAGAGCGGAACCCTTCTGCTGTGTGACCGAAGATCGGAGCTCCTATACCCAGCAGAAACGCTGTGAGCACTGAGATTACATAAAAGTGGTGAAAAAAAAAATACAATATACGGCCGCCTTTCGATGCATTTCATTCTAAAAACAACATCATCAACAACAACAACAACAACGGCAACAATAATAGCAGTACCTGCTCGCTGTCAGGGTTTGCAAGGAAAGCCTCCTTGAGGATGGTCCTCGCCCCGTCGACGTCGTTGCTGAGCCACTTCTCCTTCGCCGCCATGAGCCACAGCATCTCCGCACGCGGACAGTGAGTCACGGCCTTCTTCAACATCTGCGCTCAACAACAACAACAACAATACGAGAGAAAAAAATAAATAACGGCATGCAATCCGGCAGAAAATGCTTTGAGCGCTGATTTCATGTGACGAAAAAAAAAAAAGCCATACAATGAATAGCGATAACAACACACGGGGTGGGGGGGGGGGTTCCTAGTTAACAACCCCGCTCGCTCTGATTACCAAGGATCCCAAACTGAAAACGCACACACAGAGAAGGTGGCGAATATCGTCCACACCAGTAGGGCGGCATGTTTGGCGTGGCGCATTGCTACGCCCAGCGTTACCATCCGATTGACACACAGAAAAGTAAACAACACAGGCCACACGCATGCAAGCAGCGGCAACAGCACAACCGCTTCGGTATAGGTGGTGGGTGGCGTTGTCCCGCTTACAGCTACCCAACTCGGTGCTCTTGCCTGCTCCAACGACTCTGCCGTGCCGTGCTTCTTCTCCAGCGCGCAGGCCCGCATCCACACGCCCTTCTTGGACCTGAAGTGGCCCAAGGCATGGGCGTAGATCGCCCGCGCCGTCTCCACACCTCCGCGGTTAAGGGAGTTTTCCGCATCATCCATCCAGGTCCTGAGAGCAGAAAGTGCGAACGGGGGGGGTAGTCGACAAGCAGCTTTGAAAGCTCAGGCTTGAACCCATCACTGCAGAAAGTACGGGGTGGCAAATGGATGAGTAGCCCTGAAGGGCCTGGATTGAATCCATCAGCACAGAGATTGGAAGGGTGGCCTATAATAGTTGACAAGAAGCTTTTGACATTTCAGGATTGAATCCATCAGGGGCTTGCAACGTTAGGATAAGTGCCAAAAGGTGGGAGCTGTGCCCCGGCATTCCCACGATTCACGAATGCAACCTCGAGGCACTCACACCAAGGGGGGGGGGGGGGGGGGGGGGGGGGAGCCCTTCATAATAAAAACCCCCAAATCCACCCGGAAAATTTTTTTAAAATTTTTTTTCCAAAAGGCGTTTTTCTTGGGAAGAAAAAATTTCCCCGCCCCCCCCAATGAACCTTTTCCGGTTTCCCCTTTCCCCCCCAATTGGCCCGGGGGCCGGAAAAACCCCCCCCACCTGAAGGGGGGAACCCCCTGCCCCGCCCCCCCCGCCTTCCTTAACCCCCGGTTTCCGGTGAATCCCCCCCGGAAAGGGAAAGAAACCCTCCGGGAAATTCTGGTTTTTCCAAATT